GCATTTATAGTTGTGGGGAGGAGGGGTTAAATACTTCCTCTCTTCTGGTGATTATCAATGGTTTGGTTTGGTTTTTTAACTTGTATTAGGAGCATAGGTCTTGTTTACACAAATTTAGGTAACTGCTTCCAGGACCCCACTCAACAGGTGTGCCTTTTATGGGCTTTAGAATGCATTTTTGTCCCAAACTTCATAGGTGGCCTAACTAGCTGTGAGGGTAACTTCTAAGCCCCCAAATGTCCTTATCTAATTACATTGCAAAATCATGCTTAATGCCAGCCTTGAGGGGAGAGACAACTTCAGCTCATTCTCTTTCTGATTAATTCCTTCAGCGAACATCGATGTATTTCACGTGAAAAGTGTCACCAAAGCATTCAACCAAAAGCTGTGGGGACAAAAATAAATAAATGGCCAAAAAAGTAAAGCATTCGTAGGTTAAACATTAGACATACCAACTTTTATCTCAGATTTCTACACTGTTGCTTTGTGTTGCTTCGCCCCCCACAGATTTGTCACCTCACTTCCTCTGGGTGACAGAGACGCAAAGGATTACTCAAAGCTCATCTCTACGGAGGAGTGAGAAGCCCTGAAGTGGTTAACTTTCCTGGGACCCTCCAGCAAGAGGGATCCCTTCCTNGCCGAATTGGGGTTCTCTTCCTGCATTTAGTTTTTAGACCAGGAAGTTACAGAAAGAGAACAAAGGTGGGGTTATAGTTTAACAGTATAGGCTGGTAACTTTCGGTGAAACAAGGAAAACCAGGCCCTGTGAAGTACATATGCTTTTTAGTACATTCCACACCACACACTGAAGGGTCCTATTGAGTCCGCAGAACAGAGATCAAAAGACAAATGTGGAATGTTCTTCTTCTCAAAGAATATTTATTTCAATCTAGGAGAGCACTTTAAAATTGTTTCCCCCTGCAAAATGTCAGTCTATCAGCTATGAATGCAAGCTCCAAAAACACTGCCTAGGAACCCAGCATGGTGGGTCTGCTAATATAATGTCAAACAAACCCTTTGCCTCTGGGCTTTGTGTTCTGATTTGTGCACAACGAATTCTCTCATTCTGATGTAGATTTGTAGAATTTTTTAAATTTATTTTTTAATTGAAACATAATTGATTATACATATTTATGGAGTACAGAGTTGACTATCAACTTACTCCATTATTTAAGGAAAACCAGAGAGAGTGTGTCCTGTGTATTTCCTGTTGGCACAATGCACACAGGTACTGGAAGGCCTGGTGGCATTTCTTTCATTTTTTTCTCCCCACTAGAGAGTCTTCTAAGGTATCTGGGAGCCAGGAGGGTGCTGTATGGCATTTGCATGTGTTGGGAAAATATAGGAAAATGGTCAGGGCCCCTCAGATGTTCAGAATCTTGGTGAGCATTTGATATAAATAGGCACATGTGCTCAGGTGTTCCTTGGTTATTGTCTAGTGTAATTGCGCTTGTGCACCCAGGTGTCCTGAGGTATGGACTTAAGTATAAAGGATGAGTGGCTCTCATGCATGCCACCTCCCACCCCCAGGATGCCCCGGGAGGGGGGGCACCATGGGTAGGTTCCAACCTTTGATTGTAAACACTGGATTAAGAAGAAAGCATATGGCTTATTTTTAAAATACCAAAAATTCCTCCCCATAATAGC